GCCCTGCTGTGGGTTGGCTTCTGGAGAGCTGCCTGGTACGCTGGGGCGGTCTGCGTCGCTGAGCACGCTATACCTGCCTCGCCTCAGTCGGGCAATTTTTTTTCTTGCCGCTGCCCTCCCAGCGGACTGCGCTATCGGCCGCTGCGGCGAGCACCTCGACTGCCACTGTTAGTACTTACATCTTGCCCATCCGCCCTCGCCCGTCAAGAACTCGACCCAACCCTCCTTGCCCCCCCCCCTCCTCCTCGCTCTGCGAACAAGAGGCTTCCGCTCGCCTACCCCCCATATATCCTCCCAGGGTCTACTGCGGTGCCCGCCCACTGCATTATCCCGCGAGTGGTTTCTTCTCGACTTACAATCAACCCCCCTCCCCCCCCTCCCCCCCCCACACACACACACAAGACCACGCATCGCAGGCAGTAGCCAGCAAGCAGCTCAAAAACCCTCTCGACTCCTGCACAAGACGGTTCACTCTCGAGAGCTTTGATCCGTTCCCCCCCCCCCCCCCCCCAGTGAGTGCATTGAGACAGAACGAAGATACAGGACCGCCCTTGGCCGTAGCACGCCCCGGGCTTTCTGTTTCTCCCTCTCCTCGACTTCTCTATTATAAAAGTGTACGGCCTCTTGTCTAGGACAAAGGGGCATCACTTCGTCCACTCCATTGGTAAGCCGCTCGAATTGCGAGGCTGCCTCATAGCTGCTCTGAATCATTGGGCTGACGTTAGTGCTAATTGGAGCGTGAGTGACCAGTTGATAGTGAGCTTAATATTTGTTAATATTTCCTGGTTTACGACTTCCTTCTTCTTTTTTTCTTTTTTTGCTCTTGCTTTTATGACCCATTGAAGCCTCGACATCTCGACGATTCTTTGGCTCTCAATTTCACATATATCAGTTCATCGAACTCATCTTTCAACATCAGCTCCAGCTACTAGCTTCATATCGCCAGAAATGCCGTACACTCCACCCAGCCATTCACCGGCGGCCTCGCCAGCCCAGAGCCGCTCTGCCTCGATGTCGCTACATGAAAGGCCATCAACTGCTTCGTTAACACCCAATGCTCCACCTAGATCATCGTCATACCTCCAGAAGCACCGTCGATCGTCCATCTCGCAGAATACCACAGGGCGTCCGCAGTTAAGCCGTCAGTCGCCACCGGGGAGTAGAAGTGGTAGTCTTCATCAGTCACCAGCCCCTGTGAACAATAGCTCATATATTCCCACAGGAGCAATAGTTTCACCACCAGATTCCGCACAAAACTCAAGTGATGATGAAGCTCCAGAGCTGGAAATGCGCAGGGGACGGCAAATCGACAACTTGGATGAACTTAAGGAGGCTATAAAGGTCCTTCCTCAGAGGAGGGTTCCATCACCAGACAATTCAGCAAAGCACATATCACCAGAAACTATTCAGATTACTTCACCAAGGAAGTATGCACACAACAGGTCGACTTCCGATTCGTCGTTCCTCAAGAGCTTCAACAGCAATAAGTCCAATCCTGAGAGTGATGTGGAGGACGAAGGCTATCGGATAGCACCACCCATGGTTCGCAAGAAGAGTGGAGAGGTTGTCAAGTCATCTTTAAAAACACCCAACAGGTCCCGTCCGTCCAGCGTACCGTCGACACCGACATTCCCAAAGGTGGTCCACTTTGATTCTCATCTGGAACATGTCCGCCACTTCTTGAACACAGAGAAGCCTACAGCAGTCAGTGCCGGATCATCGCCAATAGAATCTTTTGAAGGAGATGAATTTCCATTTGATAGTGAAGAGGAGATATTGTCCCCTCCTTATGAGTGGGACATTGAGTTACCCAACTTCCCTAAGGATCCAGATGCACGCAAACACTTGCCAGTAAGGCTAGAGCGGACCTATCTCTCGGCCGACAAGCAAAATCTCCTTGGAACAGTCGCAGTTCAGAATATTGACTTCCAAAAGAAGGTGGTAGTCAGGTTTACTCTTGACTACTGGCAGACGGTATCTGAGGTCAATGCTGAGTACAACAATGATATACGCCGAAGGCAACGTGAGGAAAATGTGGACAGATTCACATTCAAGGTCAAACTACATGATCTGGCAAACCTGGAGACAAAGACACTCTTCCTCTGCATTCGCTATTGTGTAGCAGGTCAAGAATTCTGGGATAACAACAACAATATGAACTTCCAGGTCGACTTCAAGAAGAAGTACCTGCCACAGAACGGGAAACCTTCCAGGATGTTCTTGCCACGCTCTCGACCGTCAGCATCTCTGCCACGCAACATCTCTCTACCGAGCTTGGACAAGTTTGATGCTCTCGATGACCTTGAGAGCATCACCACCAAGGTTGACAAACCAGTGCCGAAGCAAGCCATTCTTATCAGCGAGGGTTCTGAGCCAGTACGTCGAGCAAATCCGTCTGGCAATGCATTCTCCAACCGATACGATTTCAGTGCTTCATTGAGCGCGGCAATTGCTGCAAATAGCACTGGTGCCAAGGCCGAAGAAGGTTCTTACTTCAAGTTCACTTCTGGAGAGACGGCGCCCAAGGCTTCGCTTGAACTTCCTCCACCTCTTCCCACCATTAAAATCCCAATCATCACCAAGACCGATGCCCCATCAACTCCCGAGAATACCCCCAGGACGGGATCCGGGTCTCCTGATATTGTGACCGCTGAGAAGCCTTCGATTGAGTCTCTGTCCTACAGAGAGTTGTTGGAGACTTATTGCTTTGTAAGAAGCCCATTATACCTGTTCCCTTGATGGACTGATGTATGCTAACGAGTGATCAGTTCGGGTCCGCAAGGAGTTCGCCGCAACTCAACAATGCGCACATTCTTGAAGACACGACTGTCAAGGATCCTTATGTGAATGATTCCATTATCTCTGCCTATACCCTAGGTGGAGGTGTCACTGGCTCTCACTCTCCTTCACCTCCCGGATCCCTCTCAAACTCTCCTCTGTTGGATATCGCTCAAAATCCCAGATATACCCCTCCTAATGGGTCTCCTCCTTCATTGTCGGCATCCCAACGGAGCTCTGCAACATCTTCGCCGGTTCCGTTCAGCACCTACAAATACGAGCCCAGACGCAGCCATGGGGGATTTGTTTTTGATACCCCTCATGCCACTGCTATTCGTGGGTAGTCATTCTTTTCACGGGTTGGACAAAAGACCTAGTTATAGAACACTACGGCTTTGAGCGAAATCGTTTCATCTTTACACACAAAAAAAAAAAAAAAAAAAAAAAAAAAAAAAATTTGTATACTCGAATGGAGCATCTTAGCTCCTTCCTTTTCTGCTAATGTCATTATGTGTTTATGGTGCTTTTTCTTTTTCCTTCTGTTTTTCTGTGCATCTCCAGGTCACCTCTCTGCTTCTACACTGCTTTTTCACTTATGCAGTGGTGTGTTATAGTGGCTTTTGTTTCTTCGGTTCATAATTTCTCTTACGTTTCGTCTATGGGTTGGTTTATTTCTAGGGAGTCGGCAAAACAATTCTCTACTACAAAAAAAAAAGAAGTCTTTCGTATTCTGCGGTTACAGCCTGTCCGGTGGGATGGATGGATGGTTATTGGGATAGTAAAAGGAAGAAAAGCATGGTAGGGTAAGGATAGTGGTCGGTGTTTGGATGGGCATTTTATTTCCTTTGTTCTTCCATGGCTCTGTGTCTTCGGTTTTACTTGTTTTCTCGCTTTTCTCCTTTGGTTTTCCTGGTGCCTCTTCAACTAAGTTTTTTTTTTTTTTTTTTTTTTTTTTTTTGCTTTCAGTCTCAAATGTTGAAGAGATTGTCCTTTCATGTTAGTTGGAGGATTGGAGGAATTTGGGGGTCATGATGCCTGTGCTACTATGCAACAGGATAATGTTCCGAATTCTCCAACACCAATTGGCTCAATATCCCACAGTCTTTTTCTATCTTGTTTTTCTTCAGAAGATAACCTATGGGATGCTGGTGTCACAGTGTTATTATTATGACTTTCTTACTTATTGTGCTTTTCCTTATTTTATTCCCTAGTATATCTTTGGATTTCATGTTTCAATCCTCTGATTTTCCTGTTACAACATTGGTCGCACTCGAACTGTCCTATACCACAACGTTTCAGTCTCACTTTCGGATTCGGATGTTCGCCTTTTATCTGGACGGTTGGATTGTTGTGGGAGAATATATCGCATCGAGATGACAATTGTTTACAACAGGAGTCAACTGAGGTGGTAGCAACTGGCCAGGAGAAACTCAGGGGTATCTGGAAAAAGCCAGCGTAATATTTGTTATATGTGGCATGGTTCATGGGTTTTCGGCGTGGAGATGCTTTTGTTGGAAGTTTTCCTGACATCAAGGAATTGTGATGGATGATAGACGCTACTAGTGTGGTGGAATGGAGATATTGGTATGGTTGTTGCTGGATTTTAGTTGGACTGTGGATGGAACACAAGGGGGTCATTTCTTTTTCTCATATAACTCGTTCTGCAGAAAAAAAAAAACATCGTTTTCAAGTATTTGACTTTGTCTTTTTTTCGTTCCCGCTCTGTTTTTGTGACTATCATGATTTTCATAGGTTTCGATATTGATGAGGCTACTCTCAAGATTCGATTACCACTTTATCAGATGTGATTTTTTTTGTTTTATTACTTTTATTACGTGTGTCTTCTATTTCCATATTTGATTATTTATGCAGTACTTGACATTGTCTTGTTAAATTTCTGTCCTCGCATTCTCGCAAAAATTGAACATTAGCTTATTTCGCGGGAGTTCTCTTTATTCATATATACGAGTTCAATTAATCGCTGCATTTCGATTCAACACTCATTTGATTTCAGGATTTTATGCAGTAGATATGGTATTGGGTACGACTGTACTCATACAGTAACCACAGTTAGTGCCAGACTAAACTGCAGTCTCGGGACTGAAGTCCGACCGTTATCAGTTGTGTCAATGTTATTATGTCACTCCCTAACGGGTTGTTATCTTGAATTAGATAATCAGACTGTACATATATTTCTATCAGGAATTGAAAGCAACAAATCTTCTCCTGTGACGCAGTGGTTAGCGTGTCGTTCTTATACGTCGAATCCTTCAGGATCGAGTATGACCTACTGAGGTATGCGAAAGTCGCCGGTTCAATCCCGGCCAGGAGAATTTTTTTTTTTTTTTTATTTGGGCAAATTCAACTCTTGATATTCTCACAATGCTCCTGCTCAAAAATTGTTGTGCTCGCTAAAACAAGAAACTGAAAGAAGCTCCTAGGTTTCACCTAGGTTGAGCTTAGTTCATCCAAGGATAAGGTGAGCTAAGGGCGAGGCTGAATGAATCGTAAACCCCTGCCCGAGCATTGCGTGCATGATAGCTGAATACGATATACAGTAATGTCACTGGGATTTCGTCTGGATTGTATGTTCTGCCTCCCCCGAAAGTGTAAATAAAACCTGTAGATTGCACGTTTTCCTTGCTTCTTACGCACTTACTTGCTCACTTTGACCGTATGACTTGTACATTCCCTGTGTTACCGTTTCTTTTCTTAGATACGGAGGCCAGTTACATAGTCATCAAATGATTGCAACTGCCCAATCCAGAAACCATATTGATACTTATCTACAGTAGTTAGGGGAAGCGTTAGCCTCGTGAACCAGACCCTATTCTGGTTAGTGGACGCTGACTAGGGAAGCGTAGTATCAGCCCCAATGCCTTCGTTTACGCAAGGACGGAAGCCAAACGTACTTACAACCCTGGCAGCGGGCAGCGGGCAGCGGGAAAAACGCCTGCGCAAGATGTGACGATGGGCCGGAACGGAGTCGGCAGACGCGTGTTCGCATTGTGACTGTGACTGACTAATGGTTTTTGGCTCACAAGTTTATTTTTAATTTTATTTTTATTTTCTGTTTATATTTCTCTGTGCTACTCAGTTGTGTCGGGCCGAGCCCGGCGCGGAAGGAGGAGCTAATGAGAACTTCTTCCACGCCTGACCTGGCGTGGGCAACTGAGCACGAGATTACGTGTGCAGGTGCGCGGGGGGCAGTGTCGGGTGCCTTTTTTCTATACGGTTCTAGTTACTTCGGGTGCCGGGGCCGGATGTCCAGTGATATATCATGCCAATGATGATTTCTCTTTTAGATTACACAAAATTACGAACTTGAACACAATGATGATGAGTAGTTTCAATGATCATTCATGTGTGACCACAAATGGTGTGTTGTCTGACGTTGCGCCCACCACTGCCACATACGCCTTAAGGCAATCTCGTTACACAATCCATATACCTATCTGTTGGCACCATCATCAGAGTTTCAGGGACGAAGGGGAAGTGTGAAGGAAAGGTTACTGAATACGCAGCCTAATCTGCCCATCTCATAATCTTACGACCACTAAGGAGTTACTTCTCTATCGAGAAGCTGGGCTTTAGTATCGTGACATAGTCAGGTTGGTCGTTCTCAATGTTACACACAGCAATGGAATTGCCTAAGGCATGGAGGCTGTCATGTTTGGAAGTGAGTCGGTCGTGACTGGGATCTGGGATCAGGTAAAAGTGAAGACCGCAATTGCAATTGCGAGATTGAATCAGGTTTCAGAGTTCGGGGCGCACGGCAGCAAGATACGACGCACGGATGAGTATGAGCTCAGCAACCGAAACAGAACAAGAAACCCAAATAGGAAGTATATGACACACTAAATACTCACACGGAGAGTGACAAAAAAATGTTTGTGGTAGTGTAAACATGAAAAACGGGGCGGTGGGAGGTGGGGGCGGAGTGGGACGGTGTGGACTGTTATGGGAGATGGAGAAGCAAAAACACCAACACCAAGACGTAAACATGTGGTGACCTGGGTGGATGCATCAATTGGTCTTTACAGTTTCCCAGTCAGCTAGGGCAGGGGCAAGGAATTAACCCCACAGTTTGTTGCAATTGGCCGAGCAAGGAATTTTGACGACGCAAACTGAAGTAAGAATAATTAATGCTGTATGGAACATCCAAACTTGCAAGCGCCATGTCTAGCCAGCCAAGCACGGAAGAGAAGCTTGAGGATAATTTTGTTTAATTAGATGTGCATGAAATTTTTGAAAAGCTCGGATTTTCCGCTACGGAGAAACATGTACTGTGATTCGCCTAATTCATTAGATGAGTATGTGAATCGCCGCTTCAACAACGACCATCGGCACCCTCCAGGCACACGCCTCCTGAGGCTGCTAGGTGCCAGTGTGACTGAAGATTGACAATCCGGCTGATCATTCGCTATTCGCTCCCAAACCTCTCGCCGCCATTAGACGCCTGTTGGTTTCCCCTTACATAAGTCTGTGTGCCTGTCTTGCTTTTTCTGCTGTTGCGTTTCTCTATTTTCTTTAACCGTGATTGTGAAAATATATCTCTCTAAGTGCACAACAGGAATTGAAGAAATTGACCTAGATAAGGATGGAAAAGGTACCATGGAGAAGTCAATCAAATGCAATTTGCATCGCGTCTATGGTATTTTTCCCTTTCATCGGTCTCCTAGCTTCCTATTATCATACCGGGCGCTAGTCCGACAGGGCCAGCCTGGTTGGCAGCAGAGCCACCCCAATTCCAAAACAAATGACCATGCCAATGGATCTAGCAATTTTGACTGGTCCCCCACCACGCGTACCTCGTTGGTGAGGCGTGTTATGAGTATGTAGTCTTTGTGAACAATTCAGACAAGAATAATTCCATGCTTTTGTTACTGTCAGCCGTCCCAAAAGTGAATTTACTAGAGTTCGAAAGGGTTTGGTTTTGGTGGTAACTTGTGCTGGAACAGAGTATTATAAGGAGGAGAACTTCGAAGACCGGAACGTGGCACCCGTGTATGCAATTAGCTTGAATTGAGATTTTGAAATTGGTCATTAAATAAGCCACCCACTTCACGTGAGGGACACTGGTTCTTCAAACTGTCGGGCTGCAGAAGTCCCAGAGTTCAGTATCATAACTTGACTGATCAGTGATTTCTCTCGGAGAGATGACACAGTTGCTGAAAGTAGGATTTAGGCATGCATGTAAGTGCCATGATTTTGCATGTTTGCCTGACCTTGTCTAACAGTCGGGGCCCGAGATGCAATTTGTGTCTCTGCTGCCTCAGTATGCAAGTAAACTGGATCCAGTACCGAAATGCGATTCTGCCGCTTGAAACGTCGGATTCACGACGTACGACTGGAAACAGGCATCGGTAGTGCTATTCCTTGTCGGGTCCGTTTTCGCGATATGTGAGAGTATAGTGAAGGGAATAATTTCATGTCATTTCGGTTTCATATCAACCAGTGAGCAGTGAGTTGGAGTGAGTGATAATGGGAGAGAGAGTTGAATTTCCTTGATGGGATAAGTATATCCGACGTAGCACAGACATCAAGAGATAACGTGCATTTTTCCCAGTCGTTTCGAAGTAGCTTCTTCTCAACTTGTCCATCTTTCAGTATGCTCAGCGGCCAGCCCCATGGCACAAACACCCTGGGCACGCCGAGAATGCGAGCAGGCTTACGGAAGGGAAGGGTTGTGGAAATCGAAACCGAAATTTCCAGCGTGTCGACTTTCAAGCGAAAAGATATGAGAACACGAAGGGGAAAAAAAGCAAAGCACGAGGTGACGGGGATGCATATTATGGTAGGGGGGGGGCGGGTTGGGAAACGGCCTGAGACATGCGTGTGCAGGTGATGGCAGGGTACGGAGACATCATCTCAATTTTATTCTGTTGCGGTGTAGGGTTGATAATCTTGGCGCGATGATCCACAACGAACTGCTGCTGAGGTATTTAAAGCGGCGTGCACCGGAGGCCTCAGCATTTTGAAGCTCGAAGCTCTCGCGAGTTTCCGGCGGACAGGGCTGGCCCCTGCTGCCGCTCGAAGCTTCGTTGCTCCCTCGGCCGCGAGCTTCAAAGATGTTTTTTTTGGCACATTCTGTGCACCGTGCTAGAGGCTCAAATTACCGTAACCTGCAACCCGATGCTGTGGCATTGCACCATCGTCGATGCATTGGCAAACACCTCACACTGCTGCTAACGTGTCACGGCAAGCAGTCTTGGCACTTCGCGTCTCTCCGTCGCACGTGTTCAGATTGGGCGGGTAAAACTTCGCTAAATCCGATGCACTAGTTTCACTGTGTGGCGTCTAGCCAAGAGTCTGTGTATCATAGTATCAAAATCATTACTTCGACTGACCTCAAGCAATGGCACATATATGCCAGTGCACACATCTCCGGCACAGGAACAGCGCGCATCTACTCGCTCATTCAAAAGGTATTGGAACGGCTGACTAGCGCATAATTAGTCGGCCGTTCCAATACTTTCTAAACGAGCGAATGTTAAATGTCTTTTTGTCTGCTAGATAGAATGTTCGAAGTTATTTATTACAGTGCTTGAGAGGAAGGTCAATGCACTTGTAGTGAGATATTAGATACTATCATGAGTTTATGCAACCAGTATTGCTTTTACTATTTCCATAGAATACTAGTACCAGCAGCCATAGCATAACTATTAGATCATGTAGTTAGTCCTGGCAGTCAATATAATATGGGTTTATGCGGTCTCATCAGTCTCGTAGTAGGCGAGTGCAATTCTGCAAGTAAATGTGTACGAGTAGAGTACATTGCAATTTGATACGGTTGATCGGCATGACAAGGGTTAAAAGCAGTGAAACTAGTGCATCGAATTTCGCAAGGTTTTGCCCGCCCAAGAGATACAATTTGCGTCAAGTATCAAATTTTCCTCTTCACTGCAATTTCGCAATGCCAGCTCCTCATGTTCGCCTTTTCGACGGAGTGAGCAAGCAGTTTCGTCCCTGACCCGCTCACAGCTCACTCGCATCTACGATGGTTCGCAGACGGACGCAAGAGCGAAGAGCAGGAGGGGGCTCTCGTCGGCTTTGGACCTATCCCTCATCATGGCTATCGTGAAATTTGCCTTTGAACCTCGTTGGTTTGAATAGGCGTGAGGCTATGTGTTTGACGTTCTAGGACAAGTGGGTCGTACCGAGCGAAACAAGGTTTCAAAATTAAGTTAGGGCTGAACCGAGTGCACGGCTGTATCGGCGAATGTGGCCAAAAACTAGTCTCGTGACTAGCCAAAAACCTCTTTTTGCCAACATTCGCATCCGTGTCAGCAATTGGTGACGATGATTGGCTGAGGCTCGACTAGGTGAGAAC